TTGAAATCAGTTGGAAACGAATTGAAATCAATTCAAAATCAATTGAAAGTAAATTGTAACCAAATTGAAAGTACATTGAAATCAATTGAAAGTAAATTGTAACCAAATTGAAAGTACATTGAAATCAATTGAAAGTAAATTGTAACCAAATTGAAAGTACATCGAAACCAATTGAAAATAAATTGAAATCAATTGAAAATCATTTGAAACCAATTGAAAACGAATTGAAATCTTTCAAAATCAATCGAAAAAAAGATTCAGACCCAGATCCCTAAATAAAACACATTAAAGAGACTCTCAGAATTGTTTAAGGGGGGGGCCACACTAATCAGGATCCGACATTACACATGATTATGTATGATACATCTGGATGTAGCAAGGTACCAGCCAATTAAAACAACACATCACAGAATATTGCCTAGTTGGATAAGCATTGCGTGGAGCTTGTGTTAATAGCATGGCAGTGCTACCTATATAAATATATATAATACATACATATACAGGGGATACTTCCAGAAGCAGGGACACTATCACACGCCATACCATGGAATTTTGAAAGTCCGGACGACCAAGTCTAGATGAGCCTGCAGCGCCTTAGGCCGGGTTAATCCGATTGAAGCATGATGATAGATCCCTGGAATGGATTCCATCCATTCCAGCAAATGCATAATAGAAAGTCAATCATCCCCATCATTTCCATTCAAATATGAATAGGAACATGTCCATGCGGTGGATATGGGTCAAACATTCCCATCCAATATTATTCCTATGATGTGATAAACATTCATATTATTCATTCATAACATTCCCACACACATGAATATGGGTCAAAATTGGGTGCCCACAAACACACATCTTGAAACGTCCACCATAGAGGTCTATATATGTTCCTGGGCGCCGCTTGTCGCCGAGCATCGGTGGAGTTGTGTACGAAGCAGCTTCCAAATCCTCAGATTGTGACTGCAACAACGCGATCCATTTGATATAACTGTATATATATATATATACAAATAATCATATATTTATACGGTAACTACATGTGAATTGTGAAATATATATATATATATATGGACTATAAAAAAAAACGAACAGGTATTTTAGACATACCTCCGGGAAGGTTTTCCTTGGCCCGCCCGGCCATTTAAACATACGGAATCCAATTCATTTAAACATACGGCAACTACATTTAAATATACGAACTTGTATTTCATATATTTTCATACTACCTCCGGGACTCCGGGGCCTCGCGGTCTGGCCCGCCCTCAACATATTTAAATGGCGTTACCTTATATGATAGCTACCCTCCAGCAGATTAACATAGCTATGGCAAAAATTGTTTTCCCTCGGAACTTATCTGCGCATGGTGGCTTTTTGCATAGCTTTGCTAGTTTACTGGAGGCTATAATAATTGCACTGGCTATTGGTTGGGCCACCCATGACGGTATGATGATGACGATGACGATGATGACAACGATGACGATGATGATGTGCTTAGAACCAAAAAATAGGATCAGGTTACAGTATCCAACAATTGCAATCTGGGTGGCTGCTGAGCCACTTATCAAAAATATGAGGTTATCTATTTCAAAAAAAATACCTGTTGATCATCTAGCTCGTTGCATGCAGAAGAATAACTAGATCGGGATAAATCCTAAACAATAAGTTTCCAACCTGATGAATCGCAAGCATCTCATGTCACCAGGGGCATCAATAAAAACCAGGTTCCTGGAACCCGAATACCAAACGATCTCCATCTGTGGGGCCAAGTCAAACCACATGTTTTTAAAGCTCAAAACACCCGTTCTCGCAGCACCAGCACGTGCATGGTCAAGAATCAAACAAATTGAGTCCAAGTCACGAAACTATATACAGTGAAACCCATGTTTAAGAACCTACTGCAATCAGAACTTCAGGGGCTGGATTGCTGGATTCAACCCTTTCTGCCGGCGATTTGAAATAAGAACCCCCGGGTACCCTGGAATTCTAGCCACTGATTTTTATTCCCCTTTAACGGGTATCAATATACCAAACATTGATTTTTGACATATGTATATATATATATATATATGTAAATATCATATATATATATATATGTCTGTGTGTAACATCTGAACAGATGTAAAACTTCTGTTTTTTCTTTTTATCTTGCAGGGGGACCATCCAAATCCATGTCAATGTGCTGTGAGCGATGGTCCAACGAAGCGGCCACAGTACATGCGGATATCACGGCTGATCACCGTGACGTACCTGCTAATTCATTGATTCTTGTCTACATGCACGTTATTGGATTCAGTTCCCAACGGATCACTACAATGATCCATTTCTTGTCTAGTGTGATTTCCATGGTGGCTCCGACATGGTGCCATGGTCCCGCGTGAGGGAACCCTGTTTAGGGTGAACTGGACTTCTGAATTTACACATTTTAATGTGGGAATTCGCCTAGGTAAAGTGCAACAGTCGCCCTGCCGTTTACCACCATTTTGCGACGTCTCGCCCATCCTGCTGTCCTGGTGAACCCTTGGAACTCTCACCGTTGCTCAAGTGAAGCCGTGCCGAACTACCACAAACCTTCTTTTTTTGCCGCCGCCCAAGCTGTTTGCAATGCAACATGTCCAAGAGGCAACCGGCATGTCCTTTTTCCTGCAGGTGTGGTATTCTTTGGTTTCCGGTGAGGTCAGACAGATTGTGCACCTAATTCGCTTGAACTGAACTTCAACAGCTGTTTACTGTCCATATGGCTTGACCGACAACGTTTGAACTGAATCCCCTTATATATATTGTTGTTTTTCACTCCTCTTCATCAACTAGTTCCCCATTTACCCCAATTATCCCTCGTGCCCCTCTGTAATGTGTCGTGGGGTTTAGGTGTGTGCTCTGTGCTGGTGAGGTACGTTTCGCCGTGTAGGTTGGTTCTGGAGGTCCGTTTGTTCCCTTCCCCCCCCCTGCGCTGTTTTGGCCTTTTGCACGTCGTTTGTGTCTGCTTTCTTCTTCCTCTTGCCTTTCAGGGTTGACCCGGCTTCGGCCGGTTGTGTGTGTGTGTAACATCTGAACAGATGTAAAACTTCTGTTTTGTTCTTTCTATCTTGCGGGGGGACCATCCATGTCAATGTGCTGTGGGCGATGGTCCAACGAAGCGGCCACAGTACATGCGGATATCACGGCTGATCACCGTGACGTACCTGCTTCTGCATTTATTCTTGTCTACTTGCACGTTATGGGATTCAGTTCCCAACGGATCACTACAATGATCCATTTCTTGTCTACTGTGTGTGAAAGCACGGCGCGCGCCACAGGGAGATTTGAACCCTGCTGCAGTCAGCAAGGCTAAAGACGACAGCTTCAGATAGATGCCAGCCGGAGTCACTGAAGGCCATCTAAACACCCGATGCTGCCCTTGGCTTGTGTTGGCTTGTGTTGGTTTGTCTTGGCTTGTCTTGCCTGTGCTGCCTTGTTCCAGGCCCTAAATCAAAAAAACAAAACTTTTCGCGACCTTTTTTTTTTCCTCCTCCCCGCCTCCTTTGCAATCTAATCCCCATGCCAAAATGAACTGTCAAGCCCTGGCATGGTGAAATATCTGGCCCTTAGCTCTGTTTGGAAGGCCTGCACCGGAAAAAACTTTTCGGGGCTTGAACAGTTTTTTTGTCCAACCAACTTTTTTCCGAACCTAATGCCATGCCAAAATGAACTTTCAAGCCCTAGCATGGTGGAATATCTGGCCCTTAGCTCTGCTTGGAAGGCCTGCACCTGAAAAAAAAAGAAACAACCCCTTTCAAAGGCTGGAGGCACTATGTATATTGAATGCTAAACTAAGGGTACCCGTTAAGATCAAACCCGTTAAGAACTTGAGGGTGCCCTCGTTCATAATTCCCATATAGATCCATAATGATCCATATAGCACTTAAGAATCCCAGGGTCGGTAGGATGGAAAATTCTTTCCGGTGTACCCACGATAAGGCCATAAGGCCATGATTCACACTGCTCCGGGGATGAATCCAGGGATGAAGCCCTGGATATTATATCTCAATATCATTGGGCAATCTCTGAGCGAAACCTACCTCTTCAAGTCACCCTTGCTGGGACAACTAAGAAAAACTCTGCCGCTGGACCATGCCACTATGCCAATTTTGGGGGTTACGAATAGGATCGAGAATTCCGACGCCGGGATCCGGGCCTGGTTCTCCAAAATGTACACGGATTTCTTGCTGGGTTTAAAGACGGCCATCTGGGAGATAGTCCTAGGGCCAAAGATGTCGACCCAACCGCTTTTAAGTTCTGTGCCAAAGGAATCCAAAAGGTATCTTTGCGGCCCTGGCTGGGATCTTGTGCATACCTTTGTCACCTTTGTGGTAAAGCTGTCAAATCAAAGTGCGGAGTCTACTCGCCCTCCCATTCGTTCAAAATCCGTCAGATTTTCAGCTCGCATCTGTGCTGTAACCTTGTATAATCATTCTGATGCTTTGGAAGCCCTTCTTTAGGGATACAACCCGGCTACATCATATGCAGGGTGACCTTATCAGGAAGTCTGCATTCACCGCGACTTGTTCTGCACGGTGATTTAAACGTGTCTCTCCGCCTTTTGGGGACCTGTATCAGCACACCATCTATTTGGATGTGCATCCATCATAATCCACCTCAGGGGCTAAGTACTTGGAATAAGCGTGCAGAAACCCCGCTTTCGAATAGCTTCCCACTGACTTGGGGAGACACATCGAAGTATCACTCACCAGGACGCGTCGCCTTTGGAAAACCGGTGGAGATGATATCATGATATCCCCTAGGGTTGTGGAGAACAGTCGCATCAATCCCCCCAAAACGTGCTTCTAATTGGTGGCCGAATACAGTAAGTAATATCTAACTGGGAATAATTGGGATAAGCCAGTTATAAGCCAGTTATTATGACAGTTCACCCGGGTTATAGTTATAATATATACATATTATTGTTTTTATGACAGACACTTGACTCTCCATGTTCAGGGGCTTCTTCACCAGTCATGAGCCCCCTAATCCTCCCGGCCAAGTCCGAGCTGCCCTGTATCTTCATCAATCCACCGGGCACGGATATCAGCCTTCACATCCGGCCTGGCACGAAGAGATGAAGATGAACCAACGGCTTTAGGGATATTATCATGGTTTAATGAAGTTTTAACCAACAAAAATTTCCCGTCGGGGGGAAAACCGCGCCACCGCTTTGATGTTTTTTTTTTTAATGTCGTTTTCGCCATAGCGAAACTACTGATTCATGCCCCAAAATTGGCTCAGAATTCCCTGGGATTTTGAAGTGTTTTTTAAACGATAACCTGTACATTACAGGGAAATTGTTCCTGAAAACTCGCGTCTTTTTTTTCAACTCACATTGCGACACGGTCTTTCAAGGCTCCACCTGTGACCTCCAAAAGACTTTTCGTCTAGGAGTTCATCCAAAGACAACCCACTGACGTAACATAAGATGTGCATGTGACGCAAGTTCACATGAACGTTAACATCCCCCACCCCCCCAACCCAGTGACGTAACGTAAGATGTGCATGTGACGCAAGTTAACATGAATGTTTACATGCCCCACCCCCCCAACCCAGTGACGTAACGTAAGATGTGGCATGTGACGCAAGTTACAATGAACGTTAACATCCCCCACCCCCCCAACACCGTAAGTAAGTGTGCACACACATGAACGTAAACGTGACGTAACGTAAGATGTGCATGTGACGCAAGTTAACATGAACGTTAACATGCCCCACCCCCCCAACCCAGTGACGTAACGTAAGATGTGCATGTGACGCAAGTTAACATGAACGTTAACATGCCCCACCCCCAACCCAGTGACGTAACGTAAGATGTGCATGTGACGCAAGTTAACATGAACGTTAACATGCCCCACTCCCCCCAACCCAGTGACGTAACGTAAGATGTGCATGTGACGCAAGTTAACATGAACGTTAACATGCCCCACCCCCCCAACCCAGTGACGTAACGTAAGATGTGCATGTGACGCAAGGTTAACATGAATGTTAACATCCCCACACCCCCCCAAACCCAGTGACGTAACGTAAGATGCGATTGTGAACGCAAGGGTCGCCAAGTTAACATGAACGTTAAACATTCCCCCACCACCCCAACCCAAGACGCAACGCAAATGCGCATGTGACGCCAAAATTTTTATTATTAACATGAATGTTAACAGGCCCCACACCCCCCCAACCCAGCGGACCGTAACGTTAGATGTGCATGTGACGCAAGTTAACATGAACGTTAACATCCCCACCCCCTCAACCCAGTGACGTAACGTTAGATGTGCATGTGACGCAAGTTAACATGAATGTTAACATCCCCACCCCCCCAACCCAGTGAGATAACGTTAGATGTGCATGTGACGCAAGTTAACATGAACGTTAACATCCCCACCCCCCCAACCCAGTGACGTAACGTTAAATGTGCATGTGACGCAAGTTAACATGAATGTTAACATCCCCACCCCCCCAACCCAGTGACGTAACGCTAGATGTGCATGTGACGCAAGTGAGCATGAACGTTAACATCCCCACCCCCCAACCCAGTGACGTGACGTTAGATGTGCATGTGACGCAAGTTAACATGACATTAACATCCCCCCCACCCCCCAACCCAGTGACGTAACGTAAGATGTGATGTCAAAAACGGTTAAAACGCTGGCGCGGTTTGCCCCCCGCTGGCAAAAACTTGACGATTTATATTGATTTTTGGGACTTCATCAACAAAATGAAGTGTTATGTATGGGATTTTGTGTGGGATAATAGGGTATATATAATTAGATTTAATCAACAAAAATGAAGATTTTTGGAATTTAACCAACACAAATGAATATGTTCAGAATGTGACCAACAACAATGAAGATTTCACCACAATTCTGGTGGTATAAGGGGGATGTAACGGGTCATTGGGGATGCAATGGATCATTTTATGAATGACACATATCCAAAGGTAATCAAATTTGGTTGAACATCCATTTATGATTAGTTCGATGATTTTCCCATTTCAATGTCCGTTTTAGTTCTGGGATTTCCCAACTAGCTATGTTTTTCCCGAGAGCGTCTGAGCGCAGGGTTCTTCCAATAGTGGGGGTCTGTATCTCATCTTCTCATCTTCACACCTTCTCATCTTCACATCTGCTCATCTTCACATCTTCTCATCTTCACATCCTCTCATCTTCACATCTTCTCATCTTCACATCTTCACATCCTCTCATCTTCACATCCTCTCATCTTCACATCCTCTCATCTTCACATCTTCTCATATCCTCTCATCTTCACATCCTCTCATCTTCACATCTTCTCATCTTCACATCCTCTCATCTTCACATCCTCTCATCTTCACATCCTCTCATCTTCACATCTTCTCATCTTCACATCTTCACATCTTCTCATCTTCACATCTTCTCATCTTCACATCTTCTCATCCTCCCATCTTCTCCTCATCTTCTCATCTTCTCACATCTTCTCACATCTTCTCACATCTTCTCACATCTTCTCACATCTTCTCACATCTTCTCACATCTTCTCACATCTTCTCACATCTTCTCACATCTTCTCACATCTTCTTACATCTTCTCACATCTTCTCACATCTTCTCACATCTTCTCACATCTTCTCACATCTTCTCACATCTTCTCACATCTTCACATCTTCTCATCTTCACATCTTCTCATCTCACATCTTCTCCTCTTGCCCTCTTGCCCTCTCCTTCTTTTCTATTTCTCTTCTGAAGGCGGGGGCAGGGGCAGTGCCAACGAGACGGCACGAAACGCAACCCTTTCGCACGAAACGAGGTTCGATCGGCAAAAACTGCATGAGGTAAAATTGCGATTTGACTTGCCCCGGAGCAACCCTTTCGCACGAAATGAGGGTCGATCGGCAAAAACTGAGGTAAAATTGCGATTTGACTTGTCCTGGAGCAACCCTTTCGCACGAAATGAAGGTCGATCGGCAAAAACTGCATGAGGTAAAATTGCGATTTGACTTGCCCCGGAGCAACCCTTTCGCACGAAATGAGGGTCGATCGGCAAAAACTGAGGTAAAATTGCGATTTGACTTGTCCTGGAGCAACCCTTTCGCACGAAATGAAGGTCGATCGGCAAAAACTGAGGAAAAAATTGCGATTTGACTTGCCCCGGAGCAACCCTTTCGCACGAAATGAGGGTCGATCGGCAAAAACTGAGGTAAAATTGCGATTTTTCGTGTGCTGGAGTAACTTTTTCGCACGCAAAGAGGTTTATGTGTACGAGCGTTTCTGTGTAAAGATGTTTGTGTGTAAAAGTGTTTGTGTGTACAAGTGCCTGTGTGTAAAAGTGTCTATGTGTAAAAGCTTCTGTGTGTACAAGCGTTTGTGTGTAAAAGCAGCTCCTGTGTGTAAAAGAGTCTGTGTGTAAAAGTGTCTGTGTGTAAAGGCTTCTGTGTGTAAAAGTGTCTGTGTAGAAGCGTCTGTGTGTAAAAGCTTCTGTATGTAAAAGCTTCTGTGTGTAAAAGCTTCTGTGGGTAAAAGCTTCTGTGTGTAAAAGTGTTTGCGATGCAAACTATTGTCTTGCACTTCTCACTATTTTGTCTTGATACTCCTCTTCTCGACTGCCTGTAACACAGCTTTCATATATCGTTTCTAATATTGCGTCTCCATACTAACAAGAGAAGACCCTGCTCCTCTACGCTCTCGGGCCATCCGTCGTATAGTTTTTGTCCCAGAGAGTAACTGCTTGAAGCTCATGACAAAGAATAAACACATGAAGACCAGCACGCAGTTATCCAAATGAAAACTGGTTGGCACCCATGATTAGTACAGTTGTAGGAACCTGCAAAATGTCAACTCCGTCTTTCAAATTTGAAATGGGTTTGTGTGAAAGTAGGGTAGCCACCGCATTCGATGGTTAATCACCATGTCCCCTACTAAAATTGCATTTAGTAGGATATTCTAAAACAATTTTCAGACAATCCTAACACCTTGCATTGTTGCTTATACTCTATATAATTCTATCATATCCGCATCAAATGGCCTTTGCATTGCCATGTTTCATGATGAACTCCACATTGTCCCAAATATTGCTGCTTAAACATGCTTAAACCACAATATAGTCCCCTTAAACCATTATATGTCGAATAACAAATGGTTAAACATCACCATGAACAAAGAAACATCCAAATGCTAGGTTTGTCCGAGCGTGCTTTGGTTTCCAAGGTCAAGCTGGTGCAGTTGGGGTTCTTTTTATGGTTGTCATATGGGTTAGTTAATATGGATAATATGCGGTTGATAATGGATGTTCATGATTATGAGTGCGTATTGTGATCATAATAAATTCAATTATTATAAGTTGGGATATGGGGCCCCTAGAACATCCTGAAACTATGAGGAAATACACCAACTTTTTTCACCGGAGCTGCACCCAAAAGTATGAGGAGCATGCCCTGGGCACACCTGAAGAAAAGGAGCAAAGTTGCAACTGAGCCGAAGCTCACAGCCAAGGTAACGGGCAGCATCAGCAGATCTTCCACCAAACTCACCAGGGTTGCTACCAACCTCGAGGGCGACGGAAGTCTTGGAACCACAGCCATGAGGCAACCGGCCAGGTGGGCTGGGGCACCCTACCACGCCCAAAGAAAGATTTTGCAGAGTTGCTTTAATGCTTGGTTCATGCAACAGATTGTTTTCCAGGTCCAAGAAAACAGAAAAGATCCCAACCCCTGTTTAATCGCTGTCAAGTTGCCTTCCTATCATCAACTCAATTTGCCACAATGGCCAAAATGAACTAGTTTTGCTGAGAAAAATATCTGAATGCCGACTAAAACAAACATGTACTTTTATTGATGGAGCCCTTGACCGCCCAATACCCGGCTGAACCCCTGATAATCTTTGAAAAGTAAGACGCAACTATTTGTCTGGAATTTTACGCTTCTATTTTAGGGGTTGATAACAGCAATGATTAATTTCAAGTGGTCGATCTATGGAAAACTTTGGTGGCCTTCTTCACTGCATTCCATGAATACAATTATAGACCTAAGCACTCCTGCGCGCAACTGGAAAGTTACACTAGTCTTGGAATGCAAGTTTGGTTTTCCATGATGCTTCCATCATTTACAACATGTGCCGTCCTGTTCCCACCATGTTTCATGACTCTTGGTAATTTTGCCAGATGTTCCATCATCCCCATGATTCCAAAATGTTCCAAACACCTTCTCAAAGTGTATTTAGTCCTGGTTTTATAGGGTTGAAACGCATTCTCGAAAGGATATTTGGAACACATTCGGGCATTTTGTGCTGTTCGATGAGTTCCAGCCAAGTTTCCACTTGTTGCTATCCTAAGATGAGGGCAAGGGACCACTGCTGGGAAAGAGGGCCCTCCAGCTAAAGAGATGCATATCTACTTATTGCCTATGAATATATATATATATATCTCTCTCTCTCTACAACACACATGCCACATCTTACTACCTGTAATTATATAGTATACACATGCCACATTCATGAACATCTGTATACATATATTCAAGTATATTCAGCCTAATATTATATCACATAGTTACTATGATAGCATTTTACTGGTGGGATGTATAGGTATACAGTTGTGCACAGAGAGAGGGAGGGGGAGGGAGAGAGAGAGCGAGAGAGAGAGAGAGAGAGAGACAGAGAGAGAGAGAGAAAGAGAGAGTAGAGAGAGAGTGGGACAAAAACAATATCCAGCAAATGAACATACATCAACCCAATACTATCCTTTTATATTCAACATTGCATAACATCAACAATTTGCACAGGTTTCTCTTGCCTCTTGGGACTTGATGATTTTTCTACGCTGTCCCCCTTGGGCACGGAAAAGGACCGAGGTCCAGCCCGAGCGGCTTCTTGAGTGACATTTGCCAGGAAGGTGAAGATGTAGAACAAGCAGAAAAAACAATGCCCCAGAGAGACACACCAAAATACACGCAAGCGCCGCTTCCACCTTCGCCGACACAAAGGCGAAATGCTGCAACTGGATTGTCATTGGAGATGCTGATGTCCCAGGTATCGCTGCATAAAATGGGGAACACCTGACTCCCAACTCCCAACCAATGGGGTTTAATACATAATCCGTTGGAACAGGGAAAGAATTGTGTTCGGCGTCCGGCGTGTTTTTCTTGGCCGGATTCATAGTATTTTTATCCTTGCAGGTGCAAGGTTCGCATCACGAAACCTCACATGACCAATTTGACTCGTGCCAAGCATGCAACTTGAGGGTCCAAGTACTAATGAAATTTGGCAATAGAGAAATTCATTACCAGACGGATCCAAAAGGTAGCATTCCAACTAGCCACGAATATTGCTCTCATTTTTGCTGCTCGAATCCCAAACGTTTGGTTGCTGGTTTCAACTCATCTGAACAAATGCTTTGCTTGTCACTTTGGACCCGATCAATAGTCATGATATTTTCACTTAACCTGAAAAGTTCGTCTATATTGGGATATTTACGTTTACCCCAATCCTGCTATGTCAATATTGGTTATATGCCAACTATATTTCCTTCTTAGCTGGTTAGGTACATGTTTTTTCCGAGTTGGTCCTGAGAATCTCTCAGTCGACTTGGTGCGGTCTTGCCGGCTTTGCATTTCCACCACTGCCGGGTTCCTCTACACCCTACAAAGGCAGTATACACACATATCTATATATAAGTTATACGATATAATATCATATTATCATGTATTTATACGATTCTATACGTCTATTTCAAGCGTACAAATCACGCACAAACATAAATATACAACGAAATGCAATTACCAATTAAATCTGGTTTACCCGCTCTCCATTTAATCTCAACATTCTGGTTGAATGTCGTGTCAACATGTTTCAACTTGCTACCATCCCGGTAATCAACCCATCTCGAGCCATTCCAGGCACGGAATATTGAGCTGTTGATCCACGAATGAGTCAGTTGACTCCCTGGCCCATCACGTGCAGTTTCCCCAAAATGCCTCAAGCTGTCGAACTTCCCAACCCCTATAATTCGTCATGACTTTCCCCACAACCGTCCCGCACGTGCCTGCGCAAAGTCCGTTCCTCCACCTCTTCCGACCACGGTTCACTGAGTACTGACGGGCGCTTTTGCACCTGGGGCAGTGTCCACCATGATGATGGTTACTACTGTTAGGCAATTCATACTAGCAGCAGCAGGACAAGTAGTAGTAGTGGTGGTGGTGGTAGTAGTAGTAGTAGTAGTCGTCGTCGTCGTAGTCGTCGTCGTAGTCGTAGTCGTAGTCGTCGTCGTAGTCGTCGTCGTAGTAGTAGTAGTAGGAGTAGTAGTAGTAGGAGTAGGAGTAGTAGTAGTAGTAGTGGTAGTGGTAGTGGTAGTGGTAGTGGTAGCAGTGGTAGTGGTGGTGGTGGTGGTGGTGGTAGTAGTAGTAGTAGTAAGAAGTAAGGAGTAAGGAGTAAGCAGTAAGGAAAAACAGTAAGCAATAAACAGTAAGCAGTAATCAGTCAGTAGTGAGTAGTGCGTAGTGCGTAGTCAATAGTGAGTATTTAGCTAATAGTGAGTAGTTAGCAGGTTAGTTAGTGGGTTAGTTAGTTAGTTAGTTAGCTAGTTAGTTAGTTAGTTAGTTACTTAGCTAGTTAGTTAGTTAGTTAGTTTGTTTGTTTGTTTGTTGGTGAGTGAGTGGGTTAGTGCGTCAGTGGGTGAGTGGGTGAGTGGGTGAGTGGGTGGGTGGTGGGTGAGTGAGTGAGTGAGTGAGGTGAGTGCGTGAGTGGAGTGGAGTGAGAGTGAGTGGAGTGAGTGGAGTGAGTGGAGTGAGTGGAGTGAGTGGAGTGAGTGGAGTGAGTGGAGTGAGTGGAGTGAGTGGAGTGAGTGGAGTGAGTGGAGTGGAGTGGTGGAGTGAGTGGAGTGAGTGGAGTGAGTGGAGTGAGTGGAGTGAGTGGAGTGAGTGGAGTGAGTGAGGGTGAGTGAGTGTGAGTGAGTGGTGAGTGTGAGTGGAGTGAGTGGAGTGAGTGTGAGTGAGTGGAGTGAGTGGAGTGAGTGGAGTGAGTGGAGTGAGTGGAGTGAGTGCAGTGAGTGGAGTGAGTGGAGTGAGTGGAGTGGGTGGGTGAGTGAGGGTGAGTGAGTGTGAGTGAGTGTAAGTGAGTGTGATTGTGTGAGTGAGTGTGTGAGTGATTGTGTGAGTGAGTGTGTGAGTGAGTGTGTGAGTGAGTGTGTGAGTGAGTGTGTGAGTGAGTGTGTGAGTGAGTGTGAGAGTGAGTGTGAGAGTGAGTGTGAGAGTGAGTGTGAGAGTGAGAGTGAGTGTGAGAGTGAGTGAGAGTGAGTGAGAGTGAGTGAGAGTGAGTGAGTGTGAGTTTGAGTGTGAGTTTGAGTGTGAGTGTGAGTGAGTTTGACCAGCCATGGCACCTTCCAAAGGATCAGGGTCAACAAGTCGCCCACGAGCGCTGAAAAAATGCCAATGGCAAAGGCGCGCATGGCCTGCAGGAAAGGCCTCAGGGTGGCCAACCTTGGAAGGTCCCAAACGGTTATGGAGGGTTACTATGAAGCACTTCTTTTATTATGTTTTATGTTCAATTTGTTTAATTATGTTTAATGTCACTGCAACTTAATGAATCTAGACTAGAGACCAGAATTTAAATCGGTTTCATGTGATCTGTGATGATTCTAGACTCTTCAACTGTATTTGTCTCTTTCGCTTGGTGGATAATTCTTTAGTATTTGGACTTGTCATTGTTTGATCTTGTCTGTTCAGCTGCTGAAATATTGCAAGCCCCCTTCACATGCTGGTAAGGTTTGGTGACCCCTGAGAAAGGCCTGCAACTCTTACTCCATCAGGGGAGACATCTTCCATTTTGAACATCACCCAGCTACACATGAGGGGAATCACTACCAACAAGCACGGTGATGCCCTTGTCTATTCTGATCCGTGTTTGACATTCTCAAGGGCATCGGATGGGCCGTGCAACGATGCGCGTTGATCCCCCAATATCTTTTTATGGGCATTAAACAACTGCACCCATCTGTCCAAGGAGGTTCCTATATTAAGGAGTTGGTTGTGACTAACATGTTTTGTGACGCACAGTGCGTGTTGTAACTGTAAGAACGGACTTGTTTCAAGCACACATAGCCTCATAAGCGCTCCATCCATGGTATAGTTTAACCACCTGAGTAGTATCACCCCCATCAGCAACCAGCTCATTTGGATACCTTTTCAATCCTCGTTCGCTAGGCTACCATTTAATCACCAGTTGGACCGATCAAATCCCAATTATACCCCCATAAAATGCTTGGACTTCAAAAGGTTCCATACACCGACTTTGCAGACCATGTGTACGATCTGTGGCCAGGTGGAATCCTTTCCCCGTGGTCAAGCAACGTTTCGGGCTCACGGCACTCTTCGCTCTCAGTCTTCGTTGACAGGGCCGAACCCTGATAAAACAGGGCATTGACGGCGCCTTGCACGGGGTCAATTTTGGGAGGTGCTTCCCGGAGTCATGAGATCCACCAAATACCATCAAATACCCATAGATCTTTAGTCTTTCTATGTATATATATATAAATAGATTTATCTGTATGCATATTAGATGCATGTGTGTATGTATGTATCTATATATATATATATGTATATGCTTACATATGCGCCTACATATATGTCTGACCAGGAACAAAACAGCATGAACATGACTAAATGAAATCACATATCCATATGTGCTCAGGGATCATCATAGATCCATATTTTACGCTATAAGCATCTATGAGCCATAGATCCACCAGTCACAATGCGTCAACAAACATAATAAGATACAACTAGGTTTTAAACATGTTCTTAACAACTATGACCAAAGCTTGAGTTAAATAGGTATCAAGGAAGCTGCCTTCGTCATTCAGGAAGGGATCAGCTTGAGATCTGCCCCATCAACTCTGAAATGATCATGTCGGATCTTTTCAATGGCTTTGTTGAAGCAGTCGTCAAAATATGCCATTCCCATCATTCCCTATCATTGATAGCAAGAAATGCTTGAGATCTTCCTAGTGCCTACCCCAGCCTACCCCAGCAAGGGGGGCTGATCATCGGTTACAAAAAAATGGGATGTTAATCTCTATACCTAGTTCATTCTCTAACAAGTTAACATGGTACTGTAATCACAAATCACCATTTGGAACAAGAAAAACATTGAGATCTATGGTCTATAGCATATGGTGATCTGATTGCTGGTTTCAATCCATCTGAACAAACATGTTCGTCATCATCCCAGTCATATGGTTGAACATAAACTTAAAACAAGTATTTGAAATTATTTGAACATGTTTGAAACCACGAGAAAGCCAGCAAATACTGATGTACTGATGGCTGTTTCTTTATGTTTCTTTCCGAGCAAACTTCCCGATTATTTCTGAAAAAAACACATCGAACGATGGGCGCCCATTGCTAAGCCCAGCCTGCAGTGACCAACTTGAGGTACATGAGCATCGTCCGTGAACTATGCCTTAGTTTGGGCTGTCGTTATTGCACCCAGTTCATTAGTCACTGATTACCTAATATCGAATGGGGCATTATGGGGCATGTAAGCATGTACAACTAGCAATCACGGTGCTTATGAACCACCAGAAACCTTGGTGGAAGATATTGTACCTGTTCAATCTGTAGTTCGTTTGGAGATCAAAGAGCAGGACCTTTACGCTAGAGACACTGCTGGCCCATATATGTGATGGTCCTTGTATGGTCGAATGATGTGAATGCTGGTAGCGGTATACCGCACTGCCTTTTCTACAGTCGCTCCAATCGTTCAAGCTGTTTCCGCTGGACAATTTTTGCCTCAACTTTTCTGTGGCAAAAATTCAACCGAAAGTTCAAAAGTCGGGTGATGTGGCGACATCTTTAAGTGTCGCTGCCAACAGCTGCTAGCAACAAGTCACGGGGGCAAACTGAATCATATTGAATCATATGCAGTAAATGTGGTAAACCCAATGATGAAGTGCAAGAAACCTGGAATATCCTGGAATTGTGGATGTCTGTAATCATCTCAAATCCATCCCATGTTTATGGTTTGTTGGTGGAAATTGTTTATGGTTTTGGGATGGGTTTTGGGATTTGCCACATAGCTTGCAGCTGATGACTCTCTCGCCACTCGACATCGCACATCTGGACCAACGAGACAGCACCTTGTAGCACTGCCATGACAGGCTTTAGTTACAACATGGTACAACATGGTACAACCTCAGGTTCATCTAAGATCATCTAAGTACCACATAGTACCACAAAGTACCACTCATTCACGACATTTCACGACTCCTTCAGCGCAATGAATGCATTGGTCAGCAGCACATCTTTGTCTGCCACAGTCAGCCCATGCGTGCCAGATTGTACCTGGAGTGGGTGCACAAGGTCAAGTGAGAAGTGCAAATTCCTGGCCCCGCCATATCATCTGTAATGGGCAAATCCAATACTATAAGACTATATGTTGGTCTAATGCCTATAAAATCAAGTCCACTCCACCAATATGACCAAACATGCTGAAATTGTGTATGTATATATATATATATATGTGTGTGTGTTTTCTTTAGTGGCACCGACTATTCTTGAAGTATTATCTGGTGTGGTTTGCGTACCCGGAAATGCTAAGCTTTGGGGAAATCAGGTACTGTTTCTTCCTGGGTTCATGATATTTATATATATAATTATGAGGGTATGTCTCAAAATTGAGCACCCCATGCCAGTCCAAGGTTCCAACCGTTTCAAAACCTAATTTGACCCTCTTTTCAATGCCGATAAGTTGGGGCACCTTCGGCATTTTGACACATGCCCATATGCATATTCATCGCTTCAACTGCTATTTTCAGCTGTTCAATCTGCTGTTTGACAATGATTGATTATGTCACTATTATGAATGCTTAACTCCATCTCCTCAAAGCTCAAAAATCCATGTCCCATTTTGCTCCCACATGTTTCATATTTTTCCATCTAATGTATTCTAACGTGGATGGCTCACCAGCCCTCGCCTGCTCCTGAAGGAAGCGAATGCTCCGAAAGGCGCAGGCGAGGGACCGGCGCTTGGGTTCGATGTTCCGCACGAGTTCGATGAGCCTCCGAGCCTTGGGGAAGTGATCCTGACCTTAGAGGGCTAGGGGTCGCAGGTTGGGTCCCGGGTTGGGGGGGTTGGGGGGTTGGGGGGTTGGGGTTCGTCTCTTGTGATTTGCTTGATGCTTAGTGGAATTCAAAAGCAAACATCATGGGTTTCCATCTGGGCCCCAGGTTGTTGACATGGGATTTCCGTGCTGGGCGCATTGGCACAAGCTCTGGGCACTCTGTATAGTTTCACCCGCACCCTTCTTCTTCTTCTTCTTACTCTTCTTCTTCTTCTTCTTCTTGGGGACTCCTTGTTGAACTGGCCCGCACGGAACCCGCAAAAAAAAGCAAACAACGCAACGAATACCATGTATCAACATATTTATACCAAATGATGTGAATCAGTATATCTATAGGTCTGTTATGATCTGTTTAACATCTATTAACGTCGAAAGCTAGTAAATATGTATAGCCTTTAGCTCTTGATTGTAACAACCAGCTATGTACAAAGCGTTTGACACACCCTTCACTGCCAGGTTTACAATGGCAGGTCCTCTGCCAGGCCACCCACCAAGAGGCAAGCGATGGCTTCTTGCAGAGTCAAACTGATCCACAAGTCCTGTCTCTGTGTGTGGTAATGACCATCAGTCGTCAGAATAAAAATGCACTATATAATGATAATATGCCAATAAGAACACAATTGTTCAGACAAAAAATCACAAAAAAAAACACTATATCTATCACTATCTCTCTATATCTCGGTATCTCTCTATTTCTCTATCTGATATATCTCTCTATTTCTCTATCTGATATATCTCTCTATTTCTCTATCTGATCGATCGATCGATCGATCTATCTATCTATCCATCCATCTAATCTACTCATCTACTAACCTGTCTGTATCTATATCTAATCTAACCTACCTACCTACCTATCGATCTATCTGTGTCTCTATCTGTCTATCTATATCTATCGATATCTATCGATATCTATCGATATCTATCTATATCTATCTATATATCTATCTATATCTATCTATATCTATCTATATCTATCTATATCGATCTATATCGATCTATATTGATCTATCTATCGGTATCTATCGGTATCTATCAGTATCTATCTATCGGTATCTATCGGTATCTATCAGTATCTATCGGTATCTATCGGTATCTATCGATATCTATCGGTATCTATCGGTATCTATCGGTATCTATCGGTATCTATTGGTATTTATCGGTATCTATCGGTATCTATCGGTATCTATCGGTATCTATCGGTATCTATCGGTATCTATCGGTATCTATCGGTATCTATCTATCTATCGATCTATCTATATCTATGAACAATACACTCATATATATATATACTAAAATACAGTACCTACACATACAGGTTAATAGGAAAAATAACTTAAGAAACTAGTATATTTCAATGTTTTTTTTTCTCTCTTGGGTGAGGCTACCTTCTGGCAATGAGCGAAGATGGACGACAGCCTTAGGGACAACATCAGGCTGGATGCTGAAATGTGTTTGGTCCCGAAATTTGACCGGTTGTCACAAAAATGGCGATGGAAACCAAGCAAATCCCCCATTTGCAAATGACTTGCCAGTGAAAAAAACATGTCCACATTTTCTGAATAATAATTCACCAATCTGAAACAAAAAGCCATTTGTGGACGATTTACTGGCCTAACATGGCCTAACCATCGTTTTCTCTGTTTTCACGTGCGAGTGACCGAAGAAAATATCGTCCTCCATGGCTGGTGTCTTGAACTTCTGACTCGATGGTCTCAAGCCTGGACGATCGATACGATCGGGGTAGAAACAAGAACCTCGTTTCTTGGGACAGATAATGGCTTATACACGGAATGCCTTATAACCAAAGTATCCCAAAGTTATAATAATGGCTTATAGCCTATAGCTAAGTTGTAACCACAGTTCCGGGGAGTAGTCGGCAATGATATATCGCCGTAGTGTTTTACCTCTGGTAATGATACTCCACTGAAACCGAGTCACTCCCCACGGGGTGTCCGAAGTACGGCATGGCTTCCTCGATCAAATTATCCAGCTCCACCCAGCGCCGCAAGCGCACGTAGCAATGGCACAAGCCACGCATCAAGCGGCGAAAATGGTGGAATTGAGGCTTGGCACCTGGGTGGCGAACAAAAAAATGTGGGATTTCAATGGATTGAACAGGATTGAAACGGGATTAAGACTAAGACTAAGATTTGATCAATATTATGATTAATAAATAAATAGATGTTAATAGTGAATAGGATCTACTGTAATTGATGTGATTCAATCGGATTTCACAAGATTTCAAAGGATTTAATGGCTCTTAACAGGAGCTTATAGGATTTGATGGGTTTTTACATGATATACATGATTTAATAGGATTTACGGTGATTTTGTAGGATTGAATGGGATTTGATAGGATTTACTCATTGGTTTTTAACCGTCTTCCATAGTTATGTTTAAATTTCCAAAGGATAATGGAAATTGTTTGGATGAACTTTGGACAAGTGATGTGATTTGAAGGATCACGTTTGCAGAATTACGTGAATTGACTGAATTTTTAACATCCAAATCCAGGAGTTTGGGTTTTCTGGTGGTCAACTCAGGAAACCATGGAGTGATCAGCCAAGTATGGGGAGCTCGGAGCAATGTTCTCTGGACTATTTCTGGAAGGTTTGCCAACGATGTCCTCAAATTCGAAAAATAAGGTTTGGGCCGGTGACCGGCATTAATACCATTGTCTGAATTAGTTGCCCAGAATGGTTATGAAACATGGGGGGTTACTAACTTTATGAAACATAGGGGGTTACTAAATTACCAATTCACAGTGGGAACACCAAAAGTTGTTTCTTTGCTGACTTTAAGGGAAATCCGTGGAACAAACCTTTGTCCAATTGAACCCCTTCCGAGATTGGCAGAGGGCAGTATGGGCAAGAGTCATGGCCAACCTGAAGAATGGGATGAACAGCCCACCAAGCTTTGTACCCCAACACGACAAAACCAGGACCGACAACCCCAAACCTTCACAAACCTTCCAGGTACCTCTTGGACAGGTTGCGGTTGCCGGGACATGGAAAAATAACAACTTCACCAAATTTCACCAAGGTCTACCGGGTCTACCGGGTCCAACATCAACACCTGGATCTCAGGCGCCAATGATCCGTGGCGGGGTAGCTTTGGACTCTGGTTTCATCATCATCTGCACATCTCCTTGGGAAGCACCCACAAGGCCCATTCCCTGGGAACCATGATCTCTGCTGCAGTGCCAATCCGAGCAAGTTTAGCTTCAAGGCTTGAAACTACATGTTTTTGAACCAAAAAAAACATGAGCATCCATGGAAATATGGAAACATATAGTTTTTCAGGATTTTCAGGGTGCCCTGCCTTTGAACTTTGAGGGAAAAAATGATCACTGGCCCGCTACCAACGGGGATGACCACCCAAAATTCGATCCATTGCAGGGTGTCTCAGCAAGTATGACCAAGTATGTTTGATCCATACCGCGACATGCTCGTATCGCCTTTGTGGCAAGGCTCTCTTGTACATCCTCCGGTGGTAAGCTTCTGTGCTCAAATCTTCTTCCTCCTGCTCTTGCTCCCCTTCCCCTTCCTCTGGGATTTCATCGTCAGACTCAATCAGTGGTTTGCCTGATGCTGATGGAATGGTCTTGCTGGGACACCAACAATGAAAAAAACTTGGCTTCTGCACACCCAAAGCATGGCATCAAATAATATCTTAAGTTGGATGCCCTGGCCCCCAAAGTTTTAAACCACCCTAGATGCCCTAGATATAGCAGAATTGGTGGCGATACTGTATACCTCTCATTTCACAGTAATCGCATGTCAAATCCCACTCACCAACCCAGGACCCATCGCTAGAATTGCCTCACTCGATCGGACTGGACATTGGAGCAAGTTCCACACATTACCTTCCGGTTACAGTTGTCCCTGAAATCAGTCTATTGATCACCTATATCATTATGTATATATATATATATATATCCATCTGCTCATATATGCTCCATTTATTTTCTATATATTATATTAATGTGTTTTGTTGTTTTTATTTTGTCAGCCCACTGCAACCATCTGGATAATCTGACATGAATTCACAAGCCTGAAAAGTTCGACCACTTGCATTTATCCACCCCAATAACTTATAGTTCAATTGATTGCTCAGGACTTTCGGAAACATTACCAATTAGCCCCTGGCCCCAATCCCATCTCATTTAGTTGATTGATAGGTTTCCCTACTATGCTTTAGTTCATCACATCACTTAACATCATTGTTAAACTATACAGTAGGTGATAATAGGTAACATTATATATATATATATAGATGAATATTGTAGTACAATCCGTTGTAACAACTAACCAAAACTAACCAATCAAAGGCCAGTCGCGCCTCGTCCCAGCGCCTGTTGCGCTTCCAAGGCGCAGGCAAAGGCTTCGTCCTCCGCCTCTTTTTGAATCCGCAGTGCCAAAGCGTCGTTGAAGCAACTGGCGAAGGTGTCCAAGTGATGCACCGGAGGCCAATCGACACCAATCGCCTTGGGCTTGGATCATTGAGTTCAAGGGCCAAAACATGGAACGGGCTCGAGGAGATACAAAGGACACCTGAATTTTGAAGATCTACTTCCCACATTTTTGCTTGTATAATTATATAAATGCATTGAACATGTGTGAGAGTCCTGAATCCCCCACTGGTTTGGTGGTTTCAACCCCTCTGAACAATATTAGTCAGTTGTTCACACAAGGCAGGAGGCGTTCTCACTCGCAGCACGCAGTCACGCAGACCACGGGCATGGAAGAAACGAGACTCACATCGGAGCCATCAAGAGAAGAGAAAAACCGAGTGATCAGCTGATTGAATAAAAAAAAACAACTTCCAGTTAGACAGGATCCAAAAAGCAAGCATTTTGTCTCTTCAGCAGCCCATGTTGCCGATGTTTCCTTGGCCATAGGCCCTAAAGCCTCAAAATCACTCGGTGCTGTACCAAGTCGCAGCCGTTTCTTCACCTTAGCGCCGAGGGTCATGGCACCCATAAGGATTATCAACCTACTGTTAACCAGGAATGAAAGAACCTCATCACCATCTTAGGGACGCAGAATCTGCTCCGTAGTAGTTTGCATGTATGTATGTATGTATGTATGTATGTATGTATGTATGTATGTATGTATGTGTGTATGTAAAGTATGTTATGTTATGTAATGTAATTCAATGCAATGCAATGTAATGCAATGTAATGTAATGCAATGTAATGTAATGCGTGTATTGTATTGTATTGTATTGTATTGTATTGTATTGTATTGTATTGTGTATCGTGTATTGTATTGTAATGTAATGTAATGTGATGTATTGTATTGTAATTTAATGTCATGTAATGTACTTATTCAATTGTATTGTATAGTATAGTATTGTATTGTATTGTAATGTAATGTAATGTATGTATTGTAATGTAATGTAATGTAATCTAATCTAATCAAATGTATATAATGTAATGTTTGTATGTATGTAAACGAATGTATCGTATATATATATATATTATTCAATTTATACATGAAAAGCCGCTTACTCTTGCCCCTTTTTGACCTTTACAACTTGGTGTGACTTAAGCAACATGGCCCCGGGGTGCCCCCGTTTAGTCACCGTCGAGTCACTCAAGGCGTCGGGTTCATCGGCGAAACCTGTGGGCACTTCAGTTGATCATCCCCCAAATCAACCTGAATGATCAACTGGTTGGTGGTTTCAACCCCTCTGAAAAATATGAAAGTCAGTTGGGATGATTATTCCCAATATAAATATATATATATATATATGGGGAAAAAAACATGTTCCAAACCACCAATCAGTCAACCTTGGATGATCAACCTGAAAACCTCAAGTATAACCTTGGATGCCAAATTAAAATCAACTCCTTCCCAAACGATGAGGCCTTGTTTTCTGCAACGCACAGGGATTAGGCCTACTGGAGGATGAAAAATATATACCCCATCCCCCGTTCCATCACATACAAATCTGCGTGGTCTATATGAATGTACTCTTGAAATATTCCTAGCACTGGATTCTTCACAGTCCCTATGAAAACCTGGTAGCATCGGGTAGTTTAATCAACTATGTCATGCAGTTTCTATCAATTGCAGTATGTCCCCATATTAATGGTCCAAAACCCACATTTGGTGACTGAACCCGTCTACAACCAACCAAAGGTTTGGTTTTTCTAGTGGCTCTGCACCCTGCCTCTCAAGGCCAAGGAAGCCTCCGAAGTAGAGGTACCCACTCGTTTGGGAGGCAACCGGCCGCCTCGGCAACGACAACAACATGTCTACAGGAGGCCTGAACCACCAACCACCGTCCCCATCATCCAAAATACTCCACTCAGGCCAAGCCTATAAATAAAGGGGAGGGGTCCCTAGGTAGCGGCAAAAAGACATAGTCCACCAGCCTGAAATAGAGATTTTGGAATAGTTCCTGAACATTCATATCAAGATCGGAGAAAACATACAGTCAATTAATGCAAATGTGTGTTTTCAATTTTCAGACCCTCCAATATATCATATCAAGTTGGATATATGATAAAATATGCATAGCATATCCCATATAAATTCTAAGACATTTCAGTGAGGTCGCCATGTCATTTACCAAATATAACCCAGGATATCTCATGCTCCGTTATCTTCCCCAACTCTCCTCAACACTGGAATATGAACAAAAAACAACCTCAAACAATTACCCTATTTTTTCCACCTGTTTCCAGTTCCATTCCCATTCCCATCGCGCCATCCGCCTGAGTTTTTCCCGAGGCTTTGGCATCCCTTGGCCCGAAAGAAGCGTTCCGCACAGGCCGCCGCAGGCGAGTGCTTCGAGGCCCGGAGTTTCCCGTGGCCGGAAGTTGCGGTGTGGCGTTTCCCGCGGCTAGAGCTGGAGCTGCAGGAGGAGCCAGCCTGGGGAAAAGCCTGGGATTTTAGGGGAAACTATGAGAGATGTATCATCATATATGATTACATATAATTATTTATGGGACACCTGTCGAAATCTATGGAAATTTATATATGGAAATCTATGAAAATCAATGGGAAACTCTGGGAAATCTATGGGAAGCAAGGTTGAGATGATAAGCAACACCGAGAATCTGTGGCACCTTAGATATTTAGATGAGGTGGAGAAATAAAACTATATATATATAATATAAAATACAACATTTTACCAAAGTGGTGATTTGGCAAACACAACGAGGTGATGTCCAAAAACAATCAACTGATCAATAATATTGGGACCGCACAACTTATCGAGACTTGCAACCGTTGCCATTAATGGATAGTAGGGGGGGTATGTAAATATATATATATATATATATATATACATAAAATAATGATAAATAATGTGTATACGTCATAACCATTCTTGGACTCTTAGGTGAGGCAGCTGGCTCTTGCAAATCCTGCAGTGTAGAATCCCAAGCATCCATGGGTCCTATGGCATATGGTATGATTGGTATGGGTGATTGTTGGGGCCATCCGGGTGAGATCTGTACGGATCCATGTGCCGAATTTGCCGACGGATCACGAATCATTGGGAATCACTGGGGCATGGATACCCACAATCAATGAAGACTCCTTCCCTACTGTTTGGATGACGCAGGTTTCTATCTTTTGAGAACCCCCATGCATAGAAAACAGTCCAACAGTCCCTGAACATATCCAATCATCCACAGTCCCATGCTCTGAAACTACAAGTCCTAAGGCCCTAAGGTTTCGGGATGTGGCTTCAACCTCCCAGTGATTCATCAATAGTTGCCCCCAAGAAGATTGCAAGTTTCAGCAAGACTAAGTGGTGGTGCAGGTTGCAGTGGGTTAGTTTCAATACGGTTTGGTCGGTCCAAAAAGCAAGGAAAAAAACATTAAACTCATAAAAACATGTTTGACAATTAATAAACAAAATAACGATAAATAAAAAGAAATACATATACAACAAAATGCATAGATAGAACTCAAATGATTTTACTTCATTCATTTTATTTAATCTGTTCAGGCTGTGGCCTATCAAAACTGACTTTGTTTTGACAACGCTGGCCACGCGCAAACAATCTCAGATTTTTCCACAGCACATCGCACCAGAAACACCCTTGCAGCACGTTTGCGATTTTTTTGAAGAAAACATATGTTTTTCTCATGTAATTATTTCATTTTTTTTGCATTTGATTTTGTCAAAAAACAAAAATAAAAAGGAGAAAACAGATAAACAAAAAGAAAAAACATATTATTTTTTATCAAGAAACATTTTTTCAATGAAAAAAACGAACATGCAGCTTATCCCACTGTTGCAAAAACCCCAGAGACAAACAACGCAAACAAAAACAGAAAAAATACTTTACTTCGTGTGATCCCCACAATGACATTTATAAATTTTGTTACTGGCAAATCTTCTGGCTTTCTATCTGACATTTTATCTGGCATATCTTCTGGCATATCTTCTGGCATTCTATCTGGCATTCTATCTGGCAAACATTCTGGCACTTTATCTGGCATACCTTCTGGCATTCTATCTGGCATTCTATCTGGCCAATCTTCTGGCGTTCTATCTGGCAAACATTCTGGCACTGTATCTGGCATACCTTCTGGCATTCTATCTGACATTCTATCTGGCATACCTTCTGGCATTCTATCTGGCATATCTTCTGGCATTCTATCTGGCAAACATTCTGGCATTCTATCTGGCATTCTACCTGGCATATCTTCTGGCATATCTTCCGGCATTCTATCTGGCATATCTTCTGGCATATTATCTGGCAAACCTTCTGGCACTTTATCTGACATTCTATCTGGCATTCTATCTGGCATTTTATCTGGCATATCTTCTGGCATTCTATCTGGCCGTTGCGGTCCAGCGGTGCACACTGAGCTGGGCAGGTCCCAGGTTGAGGTCCAGTGGTGCACACTGAGCTGGGCAGGTCCCCGGTTGAGGTCCAGCGGTGCACACTGAGCTGAGCAGGTCCCCGGTTGAGGTCCAGCGGTGCACACTGAGCTGGGCAGGTCCCCGGTTGAGGTCCAGCGGTGCACACTGAGCTGGGCAGCTCCCAGGTTGAGGTCCAGCGGTGCACAATGAGCTGGGAAGTTGGCAAAGAGCTTGGCGCAGAGAGTCGGCGAAGAGAGTTGGCAAAGAGCTGGGCGAAGAGTTGGCAAGGCGGAAGTGCAGGTGGAAGTTGATGCAGACATGGTCGAGGAGAAACTCGAGGAGGAGGCGAGGAGGAGGACGAGGAGGAAGAGGACAGCTAGTCGAGGAGGAGGAGGAGGACGAGGAGGAGGACGAGGACGCGGAGGAAGAGCGCTCTGATAAAATCTAACAACCCTCACCTGGCAGGTGGGGAAAAACATTTTGCGATTGTGTGTCTTTCTTTATTTATTTTTATATTTCTGTTTTTAATGTTTTTCATGTTCATTTCCTTTGATGTATTGTTCATTCCTTTTCATGTTTGTTCATTTTTTACATGTATTTTCATGTCTTTTCATTTCCTGCATTTTTTGTCATTGAAAAAAACATTGCCAGTCTAGACCACTGGCATGTCAACCCACTACTTACTTTTGCTGAATGTTTCTGTCCCCCTACTGTTGGAGCAAAAAAGAAGATGCAACAGCTCAGTCGGGTCAAGCAGCAGTTGGTTCATGTTGATCAGTTTGATCCTCTTCAGCAAGTTCACTCGTGTCCTCAGCGAGGCTCTTTGCTGCTCCCCGTTTAAACTTAACTCTTAACAGGACTGTGATAAACTCGCCCGAAGCAGCAAAAACGAAAAAAAACATTCAAAAACAACAAACATGTCAACATGTTTCCCCAACAAAGCACAAACACCCTTCAAAACCACCCTGGTTTCGTCTTGGAATGTCTTGGATTCTTGGATCTATTCGTTTTTAAGGTCTCTTTATTATAATCTATTTATTTGTTTGACATCAGGAGGATGGGATGGAATCACCCTTTTGAGGGCTGAACTCCCCATGTTCATGGGACTACCAAACCAAATAGACTCAAATTCTATGTCTAAAGGCCAGCTTCGGAATCTGAACTGCTCACTGCATCCTTCAAAAAGACTTCCTTCCAAACGGACCAGGCACCTTGCGCCGTCGACAAAGCTAGGATCTTCTGGATCATTTCCGAGAGAAACCCATGGGATTTCCATAGTCATGTTAGTTCATCAGGCTATAGAATCTTTTCATAACCAACCCTGGATATGGCACCCAGCCAACAAAAACACTACGTATTAGCTGGTTATGCTGTATAGTATATGTTTTAAAGCATCCATGCATTCATCCGCATTTATGGTTGGTAAATCCCATTTATACGCCGTGATTTTTAGATATTCTTAGCATTTTTCCCATGTATCGCAGCAAATATCGCCCCAAAACACAAAATCTGGATTTACAGCATCAAACTCCAAAAACTAGCACCTATTCCCGATAGGTTCCCCAATCATGGTGGATCTTCCATTCAAAAAAAAATCAGGAAAAAACATCTCCTCAACCAGGAAAAAAACTCAGAAAACCCAGGAAAAATCACCTCAACCGCTGCGCTATGTTCGCCTTCCAAGGATGCCGAGGCATCTTCGAATTCGCACCTCTCCAGTTGCATGAGACCTTGTCCTAAGCGGCCCGGTGGTGTCATGGAAGTGGGAAATGTAACATTGTTTCTTTTGCGTTCAGTTCTACCAATCATGTTTTTGACTTTGGCACTTTCACGTGCTCTTTACCAATCTTGATAGGACCTGTGAGGGCCGAGTCAAGGTGCATGTTTTTTTTGCTTAATTTGTTGAGGCGATGAGAAACAAAGCAAGAACGCGATCCAGAAAGAAAGAGGATAAACCACATGGAACATAGAGACCCATGGAAGCTTCGGAAAAAGAGCGATAGAACACATGGAAAATGTGGAACTTTGGGGGAGCATGGGGCGCGTCCGAGGAGCCGAAGGCTGCATGTCCGACCAAGTATCCTCAGAACGATCGTCCCAAATGGGGGGAGATGGGCCCCTTCTGGGATCCCAGCTCCAGCTACGACGTTGCAAGCCGTAAGAACAAATATAACTATATGTTTATACATACAACCTTTGACTATAGATACATGTGCATACACATATATATCTATCTATCTCTCTATCTGTCTATCAATCTATCGATCTATCTATATCGATCTATCTAAATCAATCTATCTATATCTATCTAAATCGATCTATCTAAATCGATCTATCTATCGATCTATCTATCAATCTATTTATCAATCTATCTATCGGTATATCTATCGATCTATCTATCTATATCTCTCTCTATCTATCTATCTATCTATCTCTATCCATCTATCTATCTATCTACCTATCTCTATCCATCTATCTATCTATCTATCTTTCTATCTACCTATCTCTCCTATCTACTTACCTACCTACCTACCTACCTACTATCTACCTATCTATCTATGTATGTATCTATGTATGTATCTATGTATGTATCTATTCTATCTAATCGATCTAATCTATCTAATCGAACTAATCGATCTAATCTATCTATCTATCTATCTAATCTATCTACCTACCTACCTACCTATCTATATATCTATATCTGACCATACTTACCTATATCTATCTATATATACCTGTATCTATCTATATCTATCTATATCTATCTATATCTATCTTTATATACAGATCTATATCTAGCTATTTCTATCTATGTCTATCTATGTCTATCTATATCTATCTATATCTAGCTACTTCTATCTATTTCTATGAATATCTATCTATATCTATCTATATCTATTTATATATATCTATATGTATCTATATTTATCTATATATTTATATATTTATCTATATCTATTTATGTCTATCTAAAAATAGATCTCTATCTATATCTATTTCTATCTATACCTATCTATATCTATCTCTATCTTTATCTATCTATATCTATCAATATGTATCTATATCTATCTATATCTATCTATATATATATATATATATAAATGTATATATATAAATATATCTATCTATATCTATCTATATCTATATCTATATCAATCTATATCTATCTATCGGTATATCTACTAATCTATCTAATCTCTCTAATCTATCTAATCTATCTATCTATTTATCTATCTATCGATCTATCTATCTATATCTCTCTCTCTATCTATCTATCTATCTATCCATCTATCTATCTATCTATCTCTCTATCCATCTATCTATTTTTATCTATCTATCTATCTATCGATCTATCCATCTATCTATCTATCTATCTATCTATCTATCTCTCTCTATCCATCTATCTATCTATCTATCTATCTACCTATCTCTCCTATCTACCTACCTACCTATCTACCTACTATCTACCTATCTATCTATGTATGTATCTATGTATGTATCTTATCTATCTATCTATCTATCTATCAATCTATCTATCTATCTATCTAATCGAACTAATCGATCTAAACTATCTAATCTATCTACCTACCTACCTATCTATATATCTATATCTGACCATACTTAACTATATCTATCTATATATATATATACCTATATCTATCTATATCTATCTATATCTATCTTTATATACAGATCTATATCTAGCTATTTCTATCTATGTCTATCTATATCTATGTATATCTATCTATATCTAGCTACTTCTATCTATTTCTATGAATATCTATCTATATCTATCTATATCTATCTATATCTATATGTATCTATATTTATCTATATATTTATATATTTATCTATATCTATTTATGTCTATCTAAAAATAGATCTCTATCTATATCTATTTCTATCTATACCTATCTATATCTATCTCTATCTGCATCTATCTATATCTATCTATATGTATCTATATCTATCTATATCTATCTAAATATATATATATCTGTATATATATATATATCTATATCTATCTATATCTATATCTATATCTATATCAATCTATATCTATCTATCGATATATCTACTAATCTATCTAATTTCTCTCATCTATCTATCTACCTATCTGGCTACCTATCTATCTATCTATCTATCTATCTATCTATCTATCCATTTATCTATCTATCTATCTATCTATCTATCTATCTATCTATCTACCCACCTATCTATCTTTCTATCTACCTACCTATCTATCTATCTATAATGTATAAACATCTAGATATGGTATGCAGCCTATCATTGCACAGGCCCTGCTACAAGAGTTCGTGCCCCATCGCTGACAAAGCTCGGTTGTTTTTATCTCCTTGGCGGCTGGGCATCATATGTTCCACAGCGCCAAAGGCCCTTGCTTCTCGCTCACGGCGCGCCATGGCGACACAAAGCTCTTCGTTTCTTACTGTCTCAAGCAGCGGTTTTGCCTATCCGGCATCATCTATGAGGTCATGATCAGGACATGTTGGGACACAATGGCCTCCCAATGAGGTCCTAATGAGAAAAGCATCAAAAAGCATCAAAAAACATCAGAAAGCAAGGACAACATCCGTCAGCTGGATGGTCCAGAATTTCGGCGTGGAGTCTTGACAATCGGACATCATGTAGCATGTGTCGGGGGCTTGTTGTAGCTCATCATGGCTGGGACATGATGCATATGTTGCTATGCTCACATCTGTGGGGCTCACCAAGGTTTTCGCCACGGGAAAGAAGCCGCTTCAAATGTGGGACCATGGCTGACTGGCGCAACCAGCACCTTTCACAGATCGTCTTCGGTGGGTCGTTCTTTCTCGCCGACGCAATCCCATGATATCCCATCAAGCTTGTGGCCAAAAGGCTGCACCATGCTGAAACTCTCAACCGCCAAGTTACGAGCTGAATAAACTGCTCTGAACCGCCTTCAGCCACGGGTGAACTGCAGGAGCTAGACCTCAGGATAGAGAAAACGGAAGATCTTATGGGATCTTATGGGCATATAAATATATATATATATACATACACCTTTTTGTCTATTTATTCATTTATATATATATATATGTTTATCTATTTATTCATTATATTTAAATATATATATGATACATTATATATATAGATGTTTCTTCAAAATGTATGGTTAAATATAGGCATTCCACACATCATGGGGTTTTAAAATACAAAATAAACCAACATAGTCCAAGTCTGGATGATTTGAGGGGACCATTTTAGGAAAAACAACAAGCCTCTCACGATCACAATCTGCCTGCTGGCTTTCAACCACCCACCCAGGCCATGATGAGGTACAGAATTGGTGAACAATTCACTCGATGGGCTGGAACATCTACAGGAAAGCAAAGCTGATACCCCCCAAATATAGGTGGTTCCGGCAACCAAGTTTGGGAAAAAATGCCAAAGCCTGAAGCAGTTCCTATGAAAAGAAACCCTGCATTGACCCCCCGGATGGCAGCAGCTGCTACTTCTCTGTGCCATGTGGCTACACACACGGCTAGACCATGATCCAGACAGAAATCCTGAGGCTGATGGAGGATCAGTGGGACCCTCCGTCCTCGATCCCTCTGATCACTCATATCAGATATTCCATCCAAGAAATTTAAGATTGTATGTTGTTGAACAATAAACATAAAATCATATAACATCAATACATTGGATTGTTTTTTCAAGGTAGGAGTTCACGCCTTCATAATATTCGATCAATGTCTTGATTTTCAGACATATTCTTTACATCATATATATATATATACCTACGAATGTCTTGAGGGACCCTTCCAGTTTTGTTTTAACAACATCCTTCTTGAACAAAAGGGCTAACATCAAACAACGGTCCGGAAACTCCAGAAATCATCCCTTAAGACCCCATCTGGATTTGTCTGAAACTAGGATGCCCACAAAAAAGAGGTTTGATTAAAATGTTCCCCATCAAAATGGCAATTCTATGGGTCTTCACCATTTTTTTGACAAATTCCAATCCAATTTGCCAAAATTCAAGTAAAATTCAATCCCTGCTTTGATCTTTAAATCATGTTCACTCCCCATTTCGGCCGGGTAAATCAAACAGCAACCGGACCAAAGGACTCTCAGCCCATGGATTTTGGTCCTTCAACGATTCTCACACCACCACTTTCGTGCCATTCTTCCTTCTCAACCATGGGCTGCACTTTCTGACTACGACCTCGCGTGGCCAGTGTGGCCAGTGGCCAATGATCTTCCATGGCTTTGAGGCGTAATTACCTAACTTCTAGTAGGTTAAATGATTTCCAGAGCGGCTTCCAGTAGCGATAAGAGTTTCAAACTCCACTCCTCATTACCTTATATATGCGCTCACATTCCTCTGGGGAGGCTGTTTTTTTCAGGACCGCGACTCAAAAATTATTGTGATCCACTGTTGTTGTTGCAGGGCAGCCAAAGATAGATAGACAGGCAGTCGAGCAAAGAATACTCGCTGAGATAGGACATCGATGTCCACTTCAATTGTCCCAAACATATGATGGCAATTTAACTTGGCATATTGCGCCGATGCGAACTCATAAAGGTCATCCTTTAGATACCACCCACAGAGTAGACAGAAATCGCAGTTATTTATACGTCAATCGCGTTCAATTTTCAATTTTGACCCCTCTTATCCAAAAGTCATGAGAACCAATTGGCCCGTTACATTGGTCATGTGGTCAGCATTCAATCCAATTAATGGCTAGTTTTGAAGTCTTAAATGCGCTGCATGGTTTCAAGAACATGCAAATATTTCATATAAAACGCAATATTATTATTAAATAAATAAATAAGTGAATGAAAATATATATATATATATCAATTCAAAAATAAATAAATAAATATTAATATATATATAAATATAAAATAAATAAATACAAGCACACACACATATATATATATATACATATACAATATATAAATATATATATATATGTATATGTATATATATATATCATATACGATTGCAGTACTCCCATTCACAGCAAACGTTGAGGTATGAACTATAGTCTTGATCAAAAGCTGCAGCACCCGCATCTGCTTCCAAGCTGCCCAACACCAGCGAGAACGCCTTGTGGAATTTTCGCTTCGTCCTGCACTCCGCAGCTGGGACAGGAGCAAGACATGCTGGAACACCTCTGGTAAACATACAAAAAGGCTATTGAAAATCACCATCTTCAATAGGTAAATCAACTACCAATGGGCCATTTTCAATAACGATGTCAAATTAAGAGAGGGTCACGGTCAAATGAAATTCATTCATTTAAGGGAACATGACCAAGGGAACCACTTTTATTTGACATCAAATAGAACTAGGGGAATCCAACTGTGACATGAGTATCACTTGTATAATCTACTGCATATCTGTCTTATATCAAATCACCACCTCACATGTCTTATTTCAAGGACAAAAACAGTGGGGGTGAACATGATTATGCAGTCAGTTTTTGGTGTTCAACCACCTCCCACATGTTGGGTTGTCAAATCACCTAAAAGCAACGTTTATATTGGTTAAACCCCTATATATGTTGGTGAATCATGATTTTTCTTTTATGCCTCAACGCTGAACAACATTTTGGATGCTGAAAGCTACATTGGTAGCAGCTACATGTCTCTCTTTTTGTCAATCATATACATAATTTTTTTCATCATGTGTTTTGTCCCATGTTTGTTTGGTAATTCCCATGTGTTCTGTTCACAGCCGTGTCTTTTTTTGAGGTGCCAGTGGGGCCCGTGGGGCCCGTGGGGGCCTGTGAAGCAAGCTCTGCGACTTCATCAAGGCTTGCGAAGCGCTGTTTTCGATCATGACCTCAGAAATGGCTGGGTCATGGTGGGTCATCTCACGGATCCTAAGTGGATCTAAATTGGTGGCAACCCCACTGTTCGATTTTTGTTTTTTTTTCGGGGGTTATGTGAATTAACCCTACTAGTGATCCCCGGGAAAACGAAGTATAAAATGTCTTTAGGCGGATCCACCCTGCAATAACCAACTGAAAAAAGGTGATATAAGCTGCTTAGTTGGATGAGCCACTAAGTGGGTGATGATTATTATTGTTTCAGGTGTGGTGATATGAAATTGTGATACGAGTACAGATTAAGACTAGGATTATTGACATCATTGACGCTCATTTTTCACCATGTGATCATAGTAGGAATTGTAACATTGGATTTGAAATAGGACTTTGTGGTGTGATCCCTAGAATTTCATATCCAAAACGACTGGATTTGCTTTGAGTGGGCGCATATCACATTATTGCATTTGTTTGGCCATGGGATATCTTTATATATATATAATGACGATATATGCATTAGCTTCAAAAGAGATACTGATGCAACCAACAGGCGGATGCCAAGTGCCACGACTGATCTAACGCGGGGGGGCATCTGGTGCTTTTGCGGGTCAAATGACCTAAACTTACAGCAGTAATTCCATCACATGATGTATTGAATTTCACGAGGTCTTGGGGTTTTGGGACTTTTACGGTATATTGGGTTTCAAAGTGAAAATGCATCATTTCGAGCAACCTGCGAGCAGAAGGGTCGTGAGGAAAAGTGTTGAATGTTGTGATTTTTGTTGAATCGGTGGTCCACAGGTCCAACTGGCGTTGCAGAGAAACTGAAACAGTCGGAGACAGTCGGAAACAGTCGGGAGCGGCCCGGCGTGATCGTGCCAAAATTGTCAAGCCGCAATTTTTTTGCAAAAAAAAACGTTCCGCGCAATCCCCTTTTTTTTTGAAAGTGCAACGGGAAACAGTTGGAAACAGTTGGGGCTCGTACCTTTGACTCGGCAAAAAACGAGCTATTTAAAACCAGTTTATAAAGAAAATGAACCTTAAATGGTTTTAAATAGCTCTTTTTTTGCCGAGTCAAAGGTACGAGCCCCAACTGTTTCCAACTGTTTCCCGTTGCACTTTCAAAAAAAAAGGGATTGCGCGGAACGTTTTTTTTTTGCAAAAAAAAAGGCGGATTGACAATTTTGGCACGATCACGCCGGGCCGCTCCCGACTGTTTCCGACTGTCTCCGACTGTTTCAGTTTCTCTGCAACGCCAGTTGGACCTGTGGACCACCGATTCAACAAAAATCACAACATTCAACACTTTTCCTCACGACCCTTCTGCTCGCAGGTTGCTCGAAATGATGCATTTTCACTTTGAAACCCAATATACCGTAAAAGTCCCAAAACCCCAAGACCTCGTGAAATTCAATACATCATGTGATGGAATTACTGCTGTAAGTTTAGGTCATTTGACCCGCAAAAGCACCAGATGCCCCCCCGCGTTAGATCAGTCGTGGCACTTGGCATCCGCCTGTTGGTTGCATCAGTATCTCTTTTGAAGCTAATGCATATATCGTCATTATATATATATAAAGATATCCCATGGCCAAACAAATGCAATAATGTGATATGCGCCCACTCAAAGCAAATCCAGTCGTTTTGGATATGAAATTCTAGGGATCACACCACAAAGTCCTATTTCAAATCCAATGTTACAATTCCTACTATGATCACATGGTGAAAAATGAGCGTCAATGATGTCAATAATCCTAGTCTTAATCTGTACTCGTATCACAATTTCATATCACCACACCTGAAACAATAATAATCATCACCCACTTAGTGGCTCATCCAACTAAGCAGCTTATATCACCTTTTTTCAGTTGGTTATTGCAGGGTGGATCCGCCTAAAGACATTTTATACTTCGTTTTCCCGGGGATCACTAGTAGGGTTAATTCACATAACCCCCGAAAAAAAAACAAAAATCGAACAGTGGGGTTGCCACCAATTTAGATCCACTTAGGATCCGTGAGATGACCCACCATGACCCAGCCATTTCTGAGGTCATGATCGAAAACAGCGCTTCGCAAGCCTTGATGAAGTCGCAGAGCTTGCTTCACAGGCCCCCACGGGCCCCACGGGCCCCACTGGCACCTCAAAAAAAGACACGGCTGTGAACAGAACACATGGGAATTACCAAACAAACATGGGACAAAACACATGATGAAAAAAATTATGTATATGATTGACAAAAAGAGAGACATGTAGCTGCTACCAATGTAGCTTTCAGCATCCAAAATGTTGTTCAGCGTTGAGGCATAAAAGAAAAATCATGATTCACCAACATATATAGGGGTTTAACCAATATAAACGTTGCTTTTAGGTGATTTGACAACCCAACATGTGGGAGGTGGTTGAACACCAAAAACTGACTGCATAATCATGTTCACCCCCACTGTTTTTGTCCTTGAAATAAGACATGTGAGGTGGTGATTTGATATAAGACAGATATGCAGTAGATTATACAAGTGATACTCATGTCACAGTTGGATTCCCCTAGTTCTATTTGATGTCAAATAAAAGTGGTTCCCTTGGTCATGTTCCCTTAAATGAATGAATTTCATTTGACCGTGACCCTCTCTTAATTTGACATCGTTATTGAAAATGGCCCATTGGTAGTTGATTTACCTATTGAAGATGGTGATTTTCAATAGCCTTTTTGTATGTTTACCAGAGGTGTTCCAGCATGTCTTGCTCCTGTCCCAGCTGCGGAGTGCAGGACGAAGCGAAAATTCCACAAGGCGTTCTCGCTGGTGTTGGGCAGCTTGGAAGCAGATGCGGGTGCTGCAGCTTTTGATCAAGACTATAGTTCATACCTCAACGTTTGCTGTGAATGGGAGTACTGCAATCGTATATGATATATATATATACATATACATATATATATATATTTATATATTGTATATGTATATATATATATATGTGTGTGTGCTTGTATTTATTTATTTTATATTTATATATATATTAATATTTATTTATTTATTTTTGAATTGATATATATATATATATTTTCATTCACTTATTTATTTATTTAATAATAATATTGCGTTTTATATGAAATATTTGCATGTTCTTGAAACCATGCAGCGCATTTAAGACTTCAAAACTAGCCATTAATTGGATTGAATGCTGACCACATGACCAATGTAACGGGCCAATTGGTTCTCATGACTTTTGGATAAGAGGGGTCAAAATTGAAAATTGAACGCGATTGACGTATAAATAACTGCGATTTCTGTCTACTCTGTGGGTGGTATCTAAAGGATGACCTTTATGAGTTCGCATCGGCGCAATATGCCAAGTTAAATTGCCATCATATGTTTGGGACAATTGAAGTGGACATCGATGTCCTATCTCAGCGAGTATTCTTTGCTCGACTGCCTGTCTATCTATCTTTGGCTGCCCTGCAACAACAACAGTGGATCACAATAATTTTTGAGTCGCGGTCCTGAAAAAAACAGCCTCCCCAGAGGAATGTGAGCGCATATATAAGGTAATGAGGAGTGGAGTTTGAAACTCTTATCGCTACTGGAAGCCGCTCTGGAAATCATTTAACCTACTAGAAGTTAGGTAATTACGCCTCAAAGCCATGGAAGATCATTGGCCACTGGCCACACTGGCCACGCGAGGTCGTAGTCAGAAAGTGCAGCCCATGGTTGAGAAGGAAGAATGGCACGAAAGTGGTGGTGTGAGAATCGTTGAAGGACCAAAATCCATGGGCTGAGAGTCCTTTGGTCCGGTTGCTGTTTGATTTACCCGGCCGAAATGGGGAGTGAACATGATTTAAAGATCAAAGCAGGGATTGAATTTTACTTGAATTTTGGCAAATTGGATTGGAATTTGTCAAAAAAATGGTGAAGACCCATAGAATTGCCATTTTGATGGGGAACATTTTAATCAAACCTCTTTTTTGTGGGCATCCTAGTTTCAGACAAATCCAGATGGGGTCTTAAGGGATGATTTCTGGAGTTTCCGGACCGTTGTTTGATGTTAGCCCTTTTGTTCAAGAAGGATGTTGTTAAAACAAAACTGGAAGGGTCCCTCAAGACATTCGTAGGTATATATATATATATGATGTAAAGAATATGTCTGAAAATCAAGACATTGATCGAATATTATGAAGGCGTGAACTCCTACCTTGAAAAAACAATCCAATGTATTGATGTTATATGATTTTATGTTTATTGTTCAACAACATACAATCTTAAATTTCTTGGATGGAATATCTGATATGAGTGATCAGAGGGATCGAGGACGGAGGGTCCCACTGATCCTCCATCAGCCTCAGGATTTCTGTCTGGATCATGGTCTAGCCGTGTGTGTAGCCACATGGCACAGAGAAGTAGCAGCTGCTGCCATCCGGGGGGTCAATGCAGGGTTTCTTTTCATAGGAACTGCTTCAGGCTTTGGCATTTTTTCCCAAACTTGGTTGCCGGAACCACCTATATTTGGGGGGTATCAGCTTTGCTTTCCTGTAGATGTTCCAGCCCATCGAGTGAATTGTTCACCAATTCTGTACCTCATCATGGCCTGGGTGGGTGGTTGAAAGCCAGCAGGCAGATTGTGATCGTGAGAGGCTTGTTGTTTTTCCTAAAATGGTCCCCTCAAATCATCCAGACTTGGACTATGTTGGTTTATTTTGTATTTTAAAACCCCATGATGTGTGGAATGCCTATATTTAACCATACATTTTGAAGAAACATCTATATATATAATGTATCATATATATATTTAAATATAATGAATAAATAGATAAACATATATATATATATAAATGAATAAATAGACAAAAAGGTGTATGTATATATATATATATTTATATGCCCATAAGATCCCATAAGATCTTCCGTTTTCTCTATCCTGAGGTCTAGCTCCTGCAGTTCACCCGTGGCTGAAGGCGGTTCAGAGCAGTTTATTCAGCTCGTAACTTGGCGGTTGAGAGTTTCAGCATGGTGCAGCCTTTTGGCCACAAGCTTGATGGGATATCATGGGATTGCGTCGGCGAGAAAGAACGACCCACCGAAGACGATCTGTGAAAGGTGCTGGTTGCGCCAGTCAGCCATGGTCCCACATTTGAAGCGGCTTCTTTCCCGTGGCGAAAACCTTGGTGAGCCCCACAGATGTGAGCATAGCAACATATGCATCATGTCCCAGCCATGATGAGCTACAACAAGCCCCCGACACATGCTACATGATGTCCGATTGTCAAGACTCCACGCCGAAATTCTGGACCATCCAGCTGACGGATGTTGTCCTTGCTTTCTGATGTTTTTTGATGCTTTTTGATGCTTTTCTCATTAGGACCTCATTGGGAGGCCATTGTGTCCCAACATGTCCTGATCATGACCTCATAGATGATGCCGGATAGGCAAAACCGCTGCTTGAGACAGTAAGAAACGAAGAGCTTTGTGTCGCCATGGCGCGCCGTGAGCGAGAAGCAAGGGCCTTTGGCGCTGTGGAACATATGATGCCCAGCCGCCAAGGAGATAAAAACAACCGAGCTTTGTCAGCGATGGGGCACGAACTCTTGTAGCAGGGCCTGTGCAATGATAGGCTGCATACCATATCTAGATGTTTATACATTATAGATAGATAGATAGGTAGGTAGATAGAAAGATAGATAGGTGGGTAGATAGATAGATAGATAGATAGATAGATAGATAGATAGATAAATGGATAGATAGATAGATAGATAGATAGATAGATAGATAGGTAGCCAGATAGGTAGATAGATAGATGAGAGAAATTAGATAGATTAGTAGATATATCGATAGATAGATATAGATTGATATAGATATAGATATAGATATAGATAGATATAGATATATATATATATACAGATATATATATATTTAGATAGATATAGATAGATATAGATACATATAGATAGATATAGATAGATGCAGATAGAGATAGATATAGATAGGTATAGATAGAAATAGATATAGATAGAGATCTATTTTTAGATAGACATAAATAGATATAGATAAATATATAAATATATAGATAAATATAGATACATATAGATATAGATAGATATAGATAGATATAGATAGATATTCATAGAAATAGATAGAAGTAGCTAGATATAGATAGATATACATAGATATAGATAGACATAGATAGAAATAGCTAGATATAGATCTGTATATAAAGATAGATATAGATAGATATAGATAGATATAGGTATATATATATATAGATAGATATAGTTAAGTATGGTCAGATATAGATATATAGATAGGTAGGTAGGTAGATAGATTAGATAGTTTAGATCGATTAGTTCGATTAGATAGATAGATAGATAGATTGATAGATAGATAGATAGATAGATAAGATACATACATAGATACATACATAGATAGATAGGTAGATAGTAGGTAGATAGGTAGGTAGGTAGATAGGAGAGATAGGTAGATAGATAGATAGATGGATAGAGAGAGAGATAGATAGATAGATAGATGGATAGATCGATAGATAGATAGATAGATAAAAATAGATAGATGGATAGAGAGATAGATAGATAGATAGATAGATAGATAGATGGATAGATAGATAGAGAGATAGATAGAGAGAGAGATATAGATAGATAGATCGATAGATAGATAAATAGATAGATAGATTAGATAGATTAGAGAGATTAGATAGATTAGTAGATATACCGATAGATAGATATAGATTGATATAGATATAGATATAGATAGATATAGATAGATATAGATAGAGATATATATACATTTATATATATATAGATAGATATAGATAGATATAGATACATATTGATAGATATAGATAGATAAAGATAGAGATAGATATAGATAGGTATAGATAGAAATAGATATAGATAGAGATCTATTTTTAGATAGACATAAATAGATATAGATAAATATATAAATATATAGATAAATATAGATACATATAGATATATATAAATAGATATAGATAGATATAGATAGATATTCATAGAAATAGATAGAAGTAGCTAGATATAGATAGATATAGATAGACATAGATAGACATAGATAGAAATAGCTAGATATAGATCTGTATATAAAGATAGATATAGATAGATATAGATAGATATAGATAGATACAGGTATATATAGATAGATATAGGTAAGTATGGTCAGATATAGATATATAGATAGGTAGGTAGGTAGGTAGATAGATTAGATAGATAGATAGATAGATTAGATCGATTAGTTCGATTAGATAGATTAGATCGATTAGATAGAATAGATACATACATAGATACATACATAGATACATACATAGATAGATAGGTAGATAGTAGGTAGGTAGGTAGGTAGGTAAGTAGATAGGAGAGATAGGTAGATAGAAAGATAGATAGATAGATAGATGGATAGAGATAGGTAGATAGATAGATAGATGGATAGAGATAGATAGATAGATAGATAGAGAGAGATATAGATAGATAGATCGATAGATATACCGATAGATAGATTGATAAATAGATTGATAGATAGATCGATAGATAGATCGATTTAGATAGATCGATTTAGATAGATATAGATAGATTGATTTAGATAGATCGATATAGATAGATCGATAGATTGATAGACAGATAGAGAGATAGATAGATATATATGTGTATGCACATGTATCTATAGTCAAAGGTTGTATGTATAAACATATAGTTATATTTGTTCTTACGGCTTGCAACGTCGTAGCTGGAGCTGGGATCCCAGAAGGGGCCCATCTCCCCCCATTTGGGACGATCGTTCTGAGGATACTTGGTCGGACATGCAGCCTTCGGCTCCTCGGACGCGCCCCATGCTCCCCCAAAGTTCCACATTTTCCATGTGTTCTATCGCTCTTTTTCCGAAGCTTCCATGGGTCTCTATGTTCCATGTGGTTTATCCTCTTTCTTTCTGGATCGCGTTCTTGCTTTGTTTCTCATCGCCTCAACAAATTAAGCAAAAAAAACATGCACCTTGACTCGGCCCTCACAGGTCCTATCAAGATTGGTAAAGAGCACGTGAAAGTGCCAAAGTCAAAAACATGATTGGTAGAACTGAACGCAAAAGAAACAATGTTACATTTCCCACTTCCATGACACCACCGGGCCGCTTAGGACAAGGTCTCATGCAACTGGAGAGGTGCGAATTCGAAGATGCCTCGGCATCCTTGGAAGGCGAACATAGCGCAGCGGTTGAGGTGATTTTTCCTGGGTTTTCTGAGTTTTTTTCCTGGTTGAGGAGATGTTTTTTCCTGATTTTTTTTTGAATGGAAGATCCACCATGATTGGGGAACCTATCGGGAATAGGTGCTAGTTTTTGGAGTTTGATGCTGTAAATCCAGATTTTGTGTTTTGGGGCGATATTTGCTGCGATACATGGGAAAAATGCTAAGAATATCTAAAAATCACGGCGTATAAATGGGATTTACCAACCATAAATGCGGATGAATGCATGGATGCTTTAAAACATATACTATACAGCATAACCAGCTAATACGTAGTGTTTTTGTTGGCTGGGTGCCATATCCAGGGTTGGTTATGAAAAGATTCTATAGCCTGATGAACTAACATGACTATGGAAATCCCATGGGTTTCTCTCGGAAATGATCCAGAAGATCCTAGCTTTGTCGACGGCGCAAGGTGCCTGGTCCGTTTGGAAGGAAGTCTTTTTGAAGGATGCAGTGAGCAGTTCAGATTCCGAAGCTGGCCTTTAGACATAGAATTTGAGTCTATTTGGTTTGGTAGTCCCATGAACATGGGGAGTTCAGCCCTCAAAAGGGTGATTCCATCCCATCCTCCTGATGTCAAACAAATAAATAGATTATAATAAAGAGACCTTAAAAACGAATAGATCCAAGAATCCAAGACATTCCAAGACGAAACCAGGGTGGTTTTGAAGGGTGTTTGTGCTTTGTTGGGGAAACATGTTGACATGTTTGTTGTTTTTGAATGTTTTTTTTCGTTTTTGCTGCTTCGGGCGAGTTTATCACAGTCCTGTTAAGAGTTAAGTTTAAACGGGGAGCAGCAAAGAGCCTCGCTGAGGACACGAGTGAACTTGCTGAAGAGGATCAAACTGATCAACATGAACCAACTGCTGCTTGACCCGACTGAGCTGTTGCATCTTCTTTTTTGCTCCAACAGTAGGGGGACAGAAACATTCAGCAAAAGTAAGTAGTGGGTTGACATGCCAGTGGTCTAGACTGGCAATGTTTTTTTCAATGACAAAAAATGCAGGAAATGAAAAGACATGAAAATACATGTAAAAAATGAACAAACATGAAAAGGAATGAACAATACATCAAAGGAAATGAACATGAAAAACATTAAAAACAGAAATATAAAAATAAATAAAGAAAGACACACAATCGCAAAATGTTTTTCCCCACCTGCCAGGTGAGGGTTGTTAGATTTTATCAGAGCGCTCTTCCTCCGCGTCCTCGTCCTCCTCCTCGTCCTCCTCCTCCTCCTCGACTAGCTGTCCTCTTCCTCCTCGTCCTCCTCCTCGCCTCCTCCTCGAGTTTCTCCTCGACCATGTCTGCATCAACTTCCACCTGCACTTCCGCCTTGCCAACTCTTCGCCCAGCTCTTTGCCAACTCTCTTCGCCGACTCTCTGCGCCAAGCTCTTTGCCAACTTCCCAGCTCATTGTGCACCGCTGGACCTCAACCTGGGAGCTGCCCAGCTCAGTGTGCACCGCTGGACCTCAACCGGGGACCTGCCCAGCTCAGTGTGCACCGCTGGACCTCAACCGGGGACCTGCTCAGCTCAGTGTGCACCGCTGGACCTCAACCGGGGACCTGCCCAGCTCAGTGTGCACCACTGGACCTCAACCTGGGACCTGCCCAGCTCAGTGTGCACCGCTGGACCGCAACGGCCAGATAGAATGCCAGAAGATATGCCAGATAAAATGCCAGATAGAATGCCAGATAGAATGTCAGATAAAGTGCCAGAAGGTTTGCCAGATAATATGCCAGAAGATATGCCAGATAGAATGCCGGAAGATATGCCAGAAGATATGCCAGGTAGAATGCCAGATAGAATGCCAGATAGAATGCCAGAATGTTTGCCAGATAGAATGCCAGAAGATATGCCAGATAGAATGCCAGATAGAATGCCAGAAGATATGCCAGATAGAATGCCAGAAGGTATGCCAGATACAGTGCCAGAATGTTTGCCAGATAGAACGCCAGAAGATTGGCCAGATAGAATGCCAGATAGAATGCCAGAAGGTATGCCAGATAAAGTGCCAGAATGTTTGCCAGATAGAATGCCAGATAGAATGCCAGAAGATATGCCAGAAGATATGCCAGATAAAATGTCAGATAGAAAGCCAGAAGATTTGCCAGTAACAAAATTTATAAATGTCATTGTGGGGATCACACGAAGTAAAGTATTTTTTTCTGTTTTTGTTTGCGTTGTTTGTCTCTGGGGTTTTTGCAACAGTGGGATAAGCTGCATGTTCGTTTTTTTTCATTGAAAAAATGTTTCTTGATAAAAAATAATATGTTTTTTCTTTTTGTTTATCTGTTTTCTCCTTTTTATTTTTGTTTTTTTGACAAAATCAAATGCAAAAAAAATGAAATAATTACATGAGAAAAACATATGTTTTCTTCAAAAAAATCGCAAACGTGCTGCAAGGGTGTTTCTGGTGCGATGTGCTGTGGAAAAATCTGAGATTGTTTGCGCGTGGCCAGCGTTGTCAAAACAAAGTCAGTTTTGATAGGCCACAGCCTGAACAGATTAAATAAAATGAATGAAGTAAAATCATTTGAGTTCTATCTATGCATTTTGTTGTATATGTATTTCTTTTTATTTATCGTCATTCTGTTTATTAATTGTGAAACATGTTTTTATGAGTTTAATGTTTTTCCCTTGATTTTTGGACCGACCAAACCGTATTGAAACTAACCCACTGCAACCTGCACCACCACTTAGTCTTGCTGAAACTTGCAATCTTCTTGGGGGCAACTATTGATGAATCACTGGAAGGTTGAAGCCACATCCCGAAACCTTAGGGCCTTAGGACTTGTAGTTTCAGAGCATGGGACTGTGGATGATTGGATATGTTCAGGGACTGTTGGACTGTTTTCTATGCATGGGGGTTCTCAAAAGATAGAAACCTGCGTCATCCAAACAGTAGGGAAGGAGTCTTCATTGATTGTGGGTATCCATGCCCCAGTGATTCCCAATGATTCGTGATCCGTCGGCAAATTCGGCACATGGATCCGTACAGATCTCACCCGGATGGCCCCAACAATCACCCATACCAATCATACCATATGCCATAGGACCCATGGATGCTTGGGATTCTACACTGCAGGATTTGCAAGAGCCAGCTGCCTCACCTAAGAGTCCAAGAATGGTTATGACGTATACACATTATTTATCATTATTTTATGTATATATATATTTACATACCCCCCTACTATCCATTAATGGCAACGGTTGCAAGTCTCGATAAGTTGTGCGGTCCCAATATTATTGATCAGTTGATTGTTTTTGGACATCACCTCGTTGTGTTTGCCAAATCACCACTTTGGTAAAATGTTGTATTTTATATTATATATATATAGTTTTATTTCTCCACCTCATCTAAATATCTAAGGTGCCACAGATTCTCGGTGTTGCTTATCATCTCAACCTTGCTTCCCATAGATTTCCCAGAGTTTCCCATTGATTTTCATAGATTTCCATATATAAATTTCCATAGATTTCGACAGGTGTCCCATAAATAATTATATGTAATCATATATGATGATACATCTCTCATAGTTTCCCCTAAAATCCCAGGCTTTTCCCCAGGCTGGCTCCTCCTGCAGCTCCAGCTCTAGCCGCGGGAAACGCCACACCGCAACTTCCGGCCACGGGAAACTCCGGGCCTCGAAGCACTCGCCTGCGGCGGCCTGTGCGGAACGCTTCTTTCGGGCCAAGGGATGCCAAAGCCTCGGGAAAAACTCAGGCGGATGGCGCGATGGGAATGGGAATGGAACTGGAAACAGGTGGAAAAAATAGGGTAATTGTTTGAGGTTGTTTTTTGTTCATATTCCAGTGTTGAGGAGAGTTGGGGAAGATAACGGAGCATGAGATATCCTGGGTTATATTTGGTAAATGACATGGCGACCTCACTGAAATGTCTTAGAATTTATATGGGATATGCTATGCATATTTTATCATATATCCAACTTGATATGATATATTGGAGGGTCTGAAAATTGAAAACACACATTTGCATTAATTGACTGTATGTTTTCTCCGATCTTGATATGAATGTTCAGGAACTATTCCAAAATCTCTATTTCAGGCTGGTGGACTATGTCTTTTTGCCGCTACCTAGGGACCCCTCCCCTTTATTTATAGGCTTGGCCTGAGTGGAGTATTTTGGATGATGGGGACGGTGGTTGGTGGTTCAGGCCTCCTGTAGACATGTTGTTGTCGTTGCCGAGGCGGCCGGTTGCCTCCCAAACGAGTGGGTACCTCTACTTCGGAGGCTTCCTTGGCCTTGAGAGGCAGGGTGCAGAGCCACTAGAAAAACCAAACCTTTGGTTGGTTGTAGACGGGTTCAGTCACCAAATGTGGGTTTTGGACCATTAATATGGGGACATACTGCAATTGATAGAAACTGCATGACATAGTTGATTAAACTACCCGATGCTACCAGGTTTTCATAGGGACTGTGAAGAATCCAGTGCTAGGAA